AGTTGCAGTCTCTTCTCCCGAGAGATCGCTGGTGCCTCCAGTGCCTATTAATATTATTATTATTATTATTGGTATCATTAACCTACAATTACATGAGGAACATTATGTTTACTAGACTCCCCCCTTCACCAAGTCCCCCCACAAACCCCATTACAGTCACTGTCCATCAGCGTAGTAAGATGCTGTAGAATCACTACTTGTCTTCTCTGTGTTGTACAGCCCTCCCCTTGCCTTCCCCCACCTTATACATGCTAATCTTAATGCCCCTTTCTTTCCCCCGGCCCCTTATCCCTCCCTTCCCACCCAACCTCCCCAGTCCCTTTCCCTTTGGTAACTGTTAGTCCATTCTTCGGTTCTGTTACTCTGCTGCTGTTTTGTTCCTTCAGTTTTTGCTTTGTTCTTACACTCCACAGATGAGTGAAATCATTTGATACTTGTCTTTCTCCACCTGGCTTATTTCACTGAGTGTAATATCCTCTAGCTCCAGCCATGTTGTTGCAAATAGTAGGATTTGTTTTCTTATGGCTGAATAATATTCCACTGTGTATATGTACCACATCTTCTCTATCCATTAATCTACTGATGGGCACTTAGGTTGCTTCCATTTCTTGGCTATTGTAAATAGCACTGTGATAAACATAGGGGTGCACCTGTCTTTTTCAAACTGGGCCGCTGTATTCTTAGCCTCCAGTGCCTTTTACAGTTAAACACGGAAGTAGCCAGAACCCCTGAGGTGTCACCTGAGACTTTCAGGATCGACAGTTAGAGAACAAACCCTCTTATGTTTCTGTAGTGTAGTGGTTATCACATTCGCCTCACACGCGACAGGTCCCCGGTTCAAAACCGGGCGGAAACAGTCTCCTTTTCCCGACGTTGACGTTCATCTTTAAAGCGACAAGAGCCCTACGGAGCGGAGCTGTGTTTTCTATCCACAAGGAGCAGCGGGTGGACTTCCATTGCTACCTGACAGCTCACTGAGCCCTCCAGGCCTGGCACCCTTTGTTCACTCTCGCTCACACTGCTGGCCGGGCCACCGCCACCGAGTCGGCTGCAGGTGCCCTTCAGATCCAGAAATCTCCCCGCCTTTCATGCAGCGCGCAAATCTCCACAGGCCCCAGGTATTATAGCGCTGAAAAACAACAGGTTCTTCCCTCTGAAGCACATTTGTCTTTCCTCCATCCCAGCGCCCTTGCTGAACAGCTGGGTTTGCGAGAACAGAACCAAAGAAGACAGACCCAATTCAGCACCTGGGGCTCCAGCCAAAGACACACGCAGGAAGACTTTTGTGCTCCACTCTGAGCTGGCGGGGCCCGTAAAGGCACCCAAACGCGTGCCCTTCTCTGGGGAGCCCCTTGAGCCAGCTCGGAGGTCAGGAAGGACACGAGCTCCGTCCTCACCTTCCTCCTGAGGAAACCCAGGTTCGGAGAGAGCGCGCGTCCGTGCCTCTGTGGCACACAGCGATAGAGCCCGACTAGAATGGCACACAGGCCAGTCACCTGGTGGTCTGGCCTCCAGCCCAGAGCCTCCCAAGGCTGGAAGAGGTGACAGGTGAAGTGCGGCTGGTGAAGCCACTGGTCTCTAAGCCTTCTCCGTTCTGCCAAGGAGCCTAACGTCTCCCTTTCAGAGTTTTCAACTACTAAGAATCAGGAACTTGAGTTCCAGCCACTCCTTACAAACAAACAAGCAAACTTTGAAACGCATGCAAAAGTTGGAAGATGACACACTACCCATTATTAACCGAAGCGCACCAGTTACTATGTTCCCATATTTGTTTCTCACTGTCTCTTCAAATATATGAATTGGTCGCCATTTGAAGGGAACATGAAGACATCACAAGATCATCGTTTAGGCCACTGTTGCTCCTTTGCTTTGGCAATGTCCCTCAAAACCAGCCTCCGAGGGGCCTTTCCTCGAAGGCCATGGGAGCGCCTCCTATTCTGTGGAGGAGGCCCTTCTTCAGCTCCTTCAGGAACCCACCTGTCCCCTCAGGCTGTAGAGAAGCTTGGGGGCAGTTTTTCTTGTCTCTGCCCCCTAGCGCAGTCCAGTCACGTCCCGTGCTCGCAGGAGTGCGATCAGGCTGTCCTGCCCCAGCACCAGCTGCCCTCCCGACTCCTGGTTGCTTTTAGGGGCAGTTGTCATCTTGGGTCAAGTCAGCCTGAGCTCCGGAAACACCTACCTCGGGAGAGACCGTTTCGAGAAGTGCAGCCACCCCCTTGTCTCCTGACTGGCTCTCCGTGCCCTGCAGGGGTGGAAAGCGTCCTGACCCAACAAAAGTGTGAAGAATCCTTTCCTGTGGTGATAGGATGAGTTGAGCCGGTGGGAAATGCACTGAAGGGAAGGGAAGAGTTCTCAAGAGTTTTACAGGATTGTCCGCCTCAGCGCTGGCAGGTAGGTGGCTGACTCTTGTCTTGTCCTGACATTGACCTTGTCCCAGCTTCAGTCTGACTTCCAGCAGTCACAGGCATCCTGATGTGCGGTGTGCATTCGGTTGTGCCTCTCCCCAACGTCTGGATGTCACAGAGCTTCTATCTCCAGGATGCTACTGATGGGGGTTTTTCCTTGCACTTCCTTTCTTGCTGAATCTGTAACTCAAGGTTGGAGGGGAGGAGAAGTAAAGGTTTAGCGGTAGGCAAATTACTAGTCTCAGTGCTAGGTCCCAGAAATACAATTCAAGTTGGTAATAAGGGTGAATCTTGGATACTTTTAAACACTAAAAAATTTTAATCATCGACATACGGTGGCATGAAAAGTGTTTATGTCATATACTTCTAAAGATGACTCCTTGTATGCATCAGACCGGTTTAATAATTTTCATCTAAAAGCTACTTTATGTTGTCTTCCTAAGCACCTAATGAATGCTCAGTGATTGAAATGCATTCTCATTAGAGGTCCTGGACAGCTGAAGAAGAGAAGAAAGTGGGTAAGATTGGGAATGGCCTAGAGCATGAGGGTCAGAGACAGGCAGACAGACAGACACAGAGCCACACTTGGGGTGGAACATGAGAGGCAGAGAGAGAGAGAGAGAGAGAGAGAGAGAGAGAGAGAGAGAGAGAGAGAAAGCTTAAGGACCTTACTGAGTGTGTCAAAGCCACAGAGCTCATTTTTGCTCTTGAGATTAAACAGAAGGGAAGGTAAGCCAGTAGCTCTAAGATCCAGGACTTCACAAGATGCATTCTGTTGGATCCATTGGTTTGTCCCAAATGAGATAATGTTTGCAGAAATAGCCAAACACTGTCAAGGAGTCATTTAGAGATAGCTGTCAGCATGCTAATACAGCCTCGTATAGGAGGGAGACCTGTCATTATATTGTGTGTGTCCAATGAAGGCAAAAATGCAATTCATAAAGGAAAGGGAATGGGGCTACATCAAACTAAAAAGCTTCTGTACAACAAAGGACACCATCAGCAGGAAAAAAAGGCAAACTGCAGTATGGGAGAATATATTCATAAAAGATTCATAATAAGGGGTTAACATCCAAAGTATATAAAGAACTCATACACCTCAACACCAAAGAAACAAAATAACCTGATTTAAAATGGGTGGCAGAGCTGAACAGACATTTCTCCAAAGAAGAAATACAGATGGCCAACAGGCACATGAGAAGATACTCCACATCGCTAACCATCAGGGAAATACAAGTTGAAACTACAATGTGATGTCACCTCACATCAATTAGAATGGCCACTATCCAAAAGACAAGAAATAACAGGTGTTGGCGAGGATGTGGAGTGATAGGAACCCTCCTACACTGTTGATGGTGGGAGGGTAAATTGGTACAACCACTGTGAAAATCAGTATAGGGGTCCCTCAAAAAACTAAAAAGAGAACTACCACTGGACCCAGTAATTCCACTTATACAAATTTTCCCAAAGAAAACAAAATCTCTGATTCAAAAAGACATATGCACCTGTATGTTTATCACAGCATTATTTACAATAGCCAAGATATGGAAGCAATATGAGTGTCCATCAATAAATAGATGGATAAATAAAAGTGGTATGTGTACACAATGGAATACTATTCAGCCATAAAAAAGGAAATCCTGCTTTTGCAACAACATGGGTGGACCTAGAGGGTATTATGCTCAGTGAAATAAGCCAGGTGGAGAAAGACAAATACCATATGATTTCACTTATTTGTGGAATCTAAAACAAAACAAAATGAAATGAACAAAACAGCAGTAGACTCATAGACACAGAGAAGGGACTGGTGGTTACCATGTGGGAGGGGTTAGGGTGGGGGAGTAGGGAGCATGCAGTGGATAAAGGGGCACAAAAATTCTTAATCATAGTATAAGCTGGTCACAGGGATAGTCATACATCATGGAGAATATAGCCAATGATTCTGTAACACCTTCTCATGTTGACAGATAGTAACCATACTAGTGGGGGATCAGGATTTAATAATATAGGTAACTGCTGAACCATGGTACTGTCTATTTGAAATCAATATAAGATTGTAGGAGAGAAGATTAAAGATGGCAGTGTGAGAGGTGAGACAGAGGCCTCCTCCCAAAACCACATATTATACAAAAATATAATTAATACAACTGATCCTGAAAGAGCAACAGGAGAGAAGGCTGCACCAGATGGCATACACTTGAAGGAAAGAACAGACCTCATGGAACAGGGTAACATACCAAAGCTGTGATCTGCCAGGACCCAAGCCTTTCCCCCCCTCAGCTCAATGGTGGGAGGAAGAGAAACGAAGCGTGGAGGGAGTAGAGGCCTAGGGCTGCTGAACACCCAGCCCTGGAGATCTGCTCTGGGAAAACCAACCTACATTGCATGGTGCTCTGGAGATTAGTGGGGTTGGAAAACTAAAACAGGTGGAATACCTGGAGAGACTGAGATTCCAGCCACTTGTGGAAAACAGGGATCCACATCTGGCTGTTGGGGACCACCTTTGTCTTCTCACATGTTTGTAGGCAGAATGGGAAAGCACCTTCCCCCATGTCTGAATGCAGCATGGGAAAGCATCAGCTTGAGAACAACCGGTGCAGTCCTTGGAAGTTATCTGTCCACATAAACATATCTTGTCCTTGAAGACGAGCCAAGACTCCTCACTCTGAAAATAGGGAGACCTTGAAGATGTGTGGAAACACCGCTCCTGCTTCTGGCTATGCCCTTCCCCCACTTGCCGATGTGGCTGGAATGGAGAACAAATAACATTCTGTTTATGCATTCCATGAGCAACTGACAGGAACCCTGCTGTAGCTCAGTTGGTGGAGCATGGACTCAACCTCAGAGTCGTGAGTTCGAGCTGAACTGGAGCAGCTGAGGCAAGCAAGAGGGCTAGTGGCTGGTGACATGAAGGAGTGGCAGCCCTCCCCAGCTAGCTCAGTCGGTAGAGCATGAGACTCTTACTCTCAGAGTTGTGAGTTCAAGCCCAACTAGGAGCAGCAGAGAGCGTCAGCCCTCCCAATTCTTTCTGTCTTTCTTTATTTTCTTCGCCCCCCTTCCGCACTTCAGGACCTGCTCACTATGCGCGGCCGGACCGCGTCATCTGGCTGCTCTGGGACAAAAGAAAGGTGGGCAGCATCAGAGACTTCCTAACAGTGAGAGGGCTGCTAAAGGGAAAGGATTGCACAGAGCTTACTGCTCAGGGGAAAGGATAGGTGGACAAAATTGTCCAGGTGCACTCTGCCTAGCAGGTTGGGAACTTTCAGGAGCTTCATGCACTCCATACCACTGGCTGACTACACAGCTCCAAGGATCCCTACCATGATACACAGACTGCTGCACCTTCCTCCCTGCCAGGCCACCCCGGCTCACAAACTGGCAGCCTCTGCCCTGATATCAGGTCAGCCAGAGGGAGGTCCCTAATATGGCAGCTACGAATGCAAAGTATAGAGGCTTAAACCTGTGTGCTCGACCCACTGGTTCTGGCAGTGGAGAAAGGCACTGCAGCTGGGAAGCAGGAAACAGCTCTTTCCTCCACCCAGGCACCAGCACTGCTCCCTGTGACCCTGACATTGCTCTAGGGGCTGAGCAGCTCCAGAGAGAAGAGCTTCTGGGCACTAGAGGTCACCACATAAAAATATGAAACATCAAGTGAAACTGAACTCAGCAATCTTCCTGAAAGAGATTTCAAAATAAAAATCATAAACATCAAACTCTACTACAAAGCCACAGTAATCAAGACAATTTGGTACTGGCACAAGAACAGACCCATAGACTGGTGGAACAGAATAGAGAGCCTAGATATAAACCCAAGTACATATGGTCAATTAATACACAATAAAGGAGCCATGGATATACAATGGGGGAAATGACAGCCTTTTCAACAGCTGGTGTTGGCAAAACTGGACAGCTACATGTAAGAGAATGAAACTGGATTATTGTCTAACCCCATACATGAAAGTAAACTGAAAATGGATCAAAGACCTGAATGTAAGTCATGAAACCATAAAACTCTTAGAAAAAATCATAGGCAAAAATCTCTTGGACATAAACATGAGCAACTTCTTCATGAACATATCTCTCTGGGCAAGGAAAACAAAAGGAAAAATGAACAGGTAGGAGTATATCAAACTAAAAAGCTTCTGTACAGCAAAGGAACCATCAGTAAAACAAAAAGACATCCTACAGCATGGGAGTATATATTCATAAATGACACATCCAAAAATGGGTTGACATCCAAAATATATAAAGAGCTCATGCACCTCAACAAGCAAAAATCAAATAAGGCAATTAAAAAATGGGCTGAACAGATACTTCTCCAAAGAAGAAATTCAGATGACCAACAGGCACATTAAAATATGCTCTATATCGCTAATCATCAGAGAAATGCAAATTAAAACCAAAATGAGATATCACCTCACATGAGTTAGGATGGCCAACATCCAAAAGACAAACAACAACAAATGCTGGCGAGGATGTGGAGAAAGGGGAACCCTCCTACACTGCTGGTGGGAATGTAAATTAGTTCAACCATTGTGGAAAGCAGTGTGGAGTTCCTCTAAAAACTAAAAATAGAAATACCATTTGACCCAGTAATTCCACTCTAAGGAATTTACCCCAAGAATGCAGGATCCCAGTTTGAAAAGATATATGCACCCCTCTGTTTATTGCAGCACTCTTTAAAATAGCCAAGAAATGGAAGCAACCTAAGTGTCCATCAGTAGATGAATGGATAAAGAAGAAGTGGTACGTATACACAATGGAATATTATTCAGCCAAAGAAGAAAACAAATCTTACCACTTGCAACAACATGGATGGAGCTAGAGGGTGTTATGCTCAGTGAAATAAGCCAGGTGGAGAAAGACAAATATCACATGATTTCACTCATCTGTGGAGTATAAGAACAAAGCAAAAACTGAAGGAACAAAATAGCAGCAGAATCACAGAACCCATGAATGGACTAACAGTTACCAAAGGGAAAGGGACTGGGGAGGGTGGGTGGGAAGAGAGGGATAAGGAGGAAAAAGAGGCATTATGATTAGCACACATAATGTAGTGAGGTGACACAGGAAAGGCAGTATATACAGAGAAGACAAGTAATGATTCTATAGCATCTTACTACACTGATGGACAGTGACTGTAATGGGGCATGTGGGAGGGGATGTGATAATAGGGGGAGTCTAGCAACCATAATGTTGTTCAAGTAATTGTACATTAACGATACCAAAATAAAAAATAAAACAGGAAAAACCCTAAAGAATCCACCCAAAACTACTAGAATAACTGAATTCAGCAAAGTTGCAGGATACAAAAATCGATACAGAGATATCTGTTGCATTTCTATACAGTAATGATGAACTAGCTGGAAGAGAAATCAGGAAAACAATTCCATTCACAATTGCATCAAAAAGAATAAAATACCTAGGAATTAACCTAATGAAGTGAAAGACCTATATTCTGAAAACTACAAGACAGTCGAGAGAAATTAAAGAAGATACCTATAAATGGAAACACATCCCGTGCTCATGGATAGGAAGAATTAATATTATCAAAATGGCCATCCTGCCTGAAGCAATCTACAGATTCAATGCAATCCCTATCAAAGTACCAACAATATTACTCAACGAACTGGAACAAACAGTTCTAAAATTCATGGAGAACCACAAAAGACCCCAAATAGCCAAAGCAATCCTGAGAAGGAAGAATAAAGTGGGGGTGGGTGGGGGTGGTTATGCTTCCCAACTTCAAGCTCTACTTGAAGCAAAACTGAAGGAACAGAACAGCCACAGTAATCAAGACAATTTGGTACTGGCACAGGAACAGATCCATAGACCAATGCAGTAGACAGGAGAACCCACATATAAACCCAAGAACGTATGGTCTATTAATATATGATATACAATGGATATATGGATATACAATGGGGAAATGACAACCTCTTCAACAGCTGGTGTTGGCAAAACTGGACAGCTACATAAAAGAGATTGAAACTAGATTATTGTCTAACCCCATACACAACAGTAAACTTAAAATGGATCAAAGACCTGAATGTAATCCATGAAACCATGATACTCTTAGAAGAAAACATAGGCAAAAATCTCCTGAATATAAACATGAGCAACTTTTTCCTAAACACATCTCCTTAGGGAAGGGAAACAAAATTAAAAAATGAACAAATGGGAGTACATCAAACAAAAAAGGACAGCAAAGGACACTTCAGCAGAACCAAAAGGCATCCTACAGTATAGGAGAAAACATTTGTAAATGACATATCCAACGAGTTTAACATCCAAAATATATAAAGAAATCACACTCCACAACACCCAAAAAGTGAATAACTTGATTAAAAAATGGGCAGAGGATCTGAACAGACACTTCTCCTAAGAAGAAATTCAGATGGCTAACAGGCACATGAGAAGATGCTCCACAACGCTAATCATCAGAGAAATGTAAATTAAAACCACAATGAGATATCACCTCACACTAGTCAGGATGGCCAACATCCAAAAGACAAGGAACAGCAAACGTTGGTGAGGATGCAGAGGAAGGGGAACCCTCCTACACTGCTGGTGGGAATGTAAATTAGATCAACCATTGTGGAAAGCAGTGTGGAGGTTCCTCAAAAAACTAAAAATAGAAATACCATTTGACCCAGGAATGCCACTCCTAGGAATTTACCCAAAGAAAACAACTTCTCAGATTCAAAAAGACATGCACCCCTATGTTTATTGCAGCACTTACAATAGCCAAGATATGGAAGCAATCTCAGTGCCCATTAGTAGATGAATGGGTAAAGAAGAGGTGGTACATATACACAATGGAATACTATTCAGCCATAAGAAAGAAAGAAATCCTTCCATTTGCAACAACATGGATGGAGCTAGAGGGTATTATGCTCAGTGAAAAAGCTAGGCAGAGAAAAGACAAGTACCAAATGATTTCCCTCATTTGTGGAGTATAACAATGAAGTAAGACTGAAAGAAGAAAACAGCAGCAGTCACAAACTCCAAAAGGGACTAGCGGTTACCAAAGGGGGGGGAGGCTGGGGGAGGGTGGGTGGGGAGGGAGGGATAAGGGGATTGAGTGATATCATGATTAGTACACATGATGTGAGGAGGGTCATGGGGGAGACTATGTAGCACAGAGAAAGTAAGTAGTGACTCTGTGGCATCTTACTACACTGATGGACAGTGACTGCAATGGGGGTATGGAGGGGGACTCGATAATATGGGTGAATGTAGTAACCACAGTTTTTCATGTGAAATCTTCATAACAGTGTATATCAATAATACCTTAATAAATTAAAAAAATGTAAAAAAAGAAAAAAGAAAAAAGCAGTGAACCAAACAGGAAAATATGTACACACACACACACACACACACACACACACACACACACACACACACACA